GACATCCCGATCTTCCTGTGGTCTTGGATCTACGCCTTCGGTTTCCAGTATTCGTTGGATCCGCCCTTGAGTCGTCTCTTTCATCATCGCAGCAAAGTCGATTTCTCGCAATTCGTACAGAACCGACGCGTATCTTCGATAAATCGGCTATAATAGTTTAAACTTCCCAGAAATGATTGCATAGCTCTGAGTGATCCTGGGAAGGCTAGATCAGTTAATGCAGACAGATCTTTCGGATTCGCCCCCAGTCCATTGCGCGAGACTTTATGTCCAAGGAATTCCACCTTGGGCATCCCCCAGAAGCTTTTAACCACGCTGATCGACAGGTTCCATTTGTCACACGCTTCGAGCAACCCCTCGACTCGGTCACATAGTTGATTCCAACTATTAGCGGGGATCAGGATGTCATCGATATATGATCTGCGACCAAGCACCGAAAGACTGCCTGGATCCACCGGTTCCCCGCCCTCATATACATCCGCAGTACTTCCGTGATCTTCAGACTTCGGGATCCGAGTGAACCCATATAACGCATTATCGATCATACGTTGATAGATCTGAGGCGCATTCTTCAGGCCAAAAGGCATTCGATTCCACTCAAATAGTCCAAAAGGAGTGATAAAAGCCGAGATCAAACGAGCACGATCTGTCATTTTCACTACCCAAAATCCACTTGCCATATCCAGAGAGCAGTACCAAAGTGTCGACTCCAGATCTTCAAGTAGATCGTTGATCAAGGGCACTGGGTATACCATCAGTTGTGTCAGCCTATTAACCAACCGGTAATCGATACATAGCCTGATGTCCACCCCATTCTTCTTAATGATCACCACGATGGGGGAAGCCCATGGTGATCTGGAATAGTTAATCATCTTGGCGGACAATAGACCCTTCATCAGATCTGCTAGCTTCTCCCTGAACTGGATCCGCAACTTACGGAAATTAAGGGCGATGGATCTCGCTCCCCCGACATCAATATCACACACCACACCTCTAGCTGCAGGC